CTTCCCCCAGAGCTGACAGAGAGTGAAAGCCCTCCTCTAAAGCTGGAGCAGTGAATTCAGATTTCCACCCTCCTAACTGTTCAAAAATAAGTTTGTTTGTTAATGCCACCCACTCGCGGTACTTCTATTAAAGAGCCCTGGTGCCTGTTATAGCAACACTAGATAACTAATGAACATCCTGCAGAATGGGTTTTAGAACAACACTGAATAAAAAACACGAAGCTACAAAAGAACACATATCACTGGATACTATTTTAAAACCAAAACTCAGCCAGTATAGTTTAGGGATACAAACAGATGTGCTGTAAGCACAAAGAACAGCAAAGAAATGATTTAAACAGTATTCAATATAGTAGCTATCTAAGTTGATGAAAATATTCCTGAATTTCAATGTATTGATGATTTTTCATTTCTTAAGGTAGGTAGATGAGTCACAGTGGTTTAATGTTATGCCTCTTAACATAAAAGCTTGCATGCGCGCACACACTTTCTGTATTTGTACGCCTAAAACATAAGAACATCAAAGTGAATTTAAAATAATCAGAGGTATTGGAGGATGCTGAACCATCAGATACAAAACATAAAGCTCAACCAACAAAGAACCAACAAAATAGGGATTAATGTAGCAATTTCAATCAGGCATGTGTGAGAGACTATTCACTAAAACAACAGACGGCAACGTGTGTTGGGCAGGTGGACTGCAAAGCTAGATTCCTACTTCAAAACACAAATAAAATTAAATTCTGCAGTGATTAACAATTCTAAAAATGTAAGAGAATCATAACAGCACTAAAAGAGAAAAAATATTCTCGTAGTTGCATACTGAAGAAGGTAGCAAGAAGAAAAACCACAGGTGGAAAATATCTACAGGGCTATGTAAAAATTTAAAAACTGGGAAGAACTAGATGGCTATCAATTGCTCATATGCAAGTTCAAGTTGAAACTGAAGAAAATTAGAACAAGTCCACAAGAGCCAAAGTACGACCTTGAGTATACCCCACCTGAATTTAGAGACCATCTCAAGAATAGATTTGACGTGCTAAACACTAATGACCGAAGACCAGACGAGTTGTGGAATGACATCAAGGACATCATACATGAAGAAAGGAAGAAGTCATTAAAAAGACAGGAAAGAAAGAAAAGACCAAAATGGATGTCAGAAGAGACTGAAACTTGCTTTGAATGTAGACTAACTAAAGTGAATGGAAGAAATGATGAAGTAAAAGAGCTGAAGACTTCAAAGGGCGGCTCAAGAAGACAAAATAAAGTATTATAATGACACGTGCAAAGACCTGCAGATAGGAAACCAAAATGGAAGAACATGCTTGGCGTTTCTCAGGCTGAAAGAACTAAAGAAAAAATTCAAGCCTCAAGTTGCAATTTTGAAGGATTCTATGGGCAAAATAGTGAACGACCCAGGAAGCATCAAAAGGAGATGGAAGGAATACACGGAGTCACTATACTGAAAAGAACTGGTCAACGTTCCACTGTTTCAGGAGGCAGCATACGATCAGGAACCCACAGTAGTGAAGGAGTAAGTACAAGCTGCACTGAAGGCACTGGCGAAAAACAAGGGTCCAGGAATTGATGGAATACCAACTGAGATGCTTCAACATACACATGCCTCACTGTAAGTACTCACTCATGTATGCCAAGAAATTTGGAAGACAGCTACTTGGCCAACCAACTGGAAGAGATCCGTATCTGTAACTACTCCCAAGAAAGGTGATCCAACCAAATGTGGAAATCATCGAACGATATCATTAACATCACTCGCGAGTGAAATTTTGCTGAAGATCATTCAAAAGCAGCTGCTGCAATACAACAACAGGGAGCTTCCAGAAATTCAAGCCAGATACAGAAGAGAACGTGGAACCTGGGATATCACTGCTGATGTCAGATGGATCCTGGCTGAAAGCAGACAATACCAGAAAGATGTTTATCTGTGTTTCATTGACTATGTAAAAGCATTCACCTGTGTGGATCATAATAAACTATATATAACATTTCAAGAATCTAAATTCTGGAACACTTAATTGTGCTCATGAGGAACCTGTACATAAACCAAGAGGCAGCCGTTTGGACAGAACAAGGGGATATTGTGTGGTTTAAAATCAGGAAAGGTGTGTGTCAGGGTTGTATCTTTTCACCATACTTGTTCAATCTGTATGCTAAACAAATAATCCGAGAAGCTGGGCTATGTGAAGAACATGGCATCAGGATTGGAGGAAGACTCATTAACAACCTGCGATATGCAGATGACACAAGCTTGCTAGCTGAAAGTGAAGAGGACTTGAAGCACTTACTGATGAAGATCAAAGACTACAGCCTTCAGTATGGATCACACATCAACAGAAAGAAAACAAAAATCTTCACAACTGGACCAATAGGCAACATCATGATAAATGGAGAAAAGATTGCAGTTGTCAAGGATTTCATTTTACTTGCATCCACAATCAACACTCATGGAAGCAGCAGTCAAGAAATCAAATGACTCATTGCATTGGGCAAATCTGCTGCAAAAGATCTCTTTAAAGTGTTAAAAAGCAAAGATGTCACCTTGAAGACTATGTTGTGCCTGACCCAAGCCAAGGTGTTTTCAATGGCCTCATATGCATGCGAAAGCTGGACGATGCATAAGGAAGACTGAAAAAGAATTGTTGCCTCTGAATTACGGTGTTGGCAAAGATACTGAATACACCACTGACTGCCAAAAGAACGAACAAGTCTGTCTTGGAAGTACAACAAGAATGTTCCTTAGAAACAAGGATGGTGAGACTGTGTCTCACATACTTTGGACATGTTATTAAGGATCAGTCTATGGAGAAGGACATCATGCTTGGTAAAGTATAGGGTCATCGAAAAAGAGGAAGACCCTCAGCGAGATGGACTGACTCAGTGGCTGCAACAATGGGCTCAAGCATAACTATCCTGAGGATGGCACAGAACCGGGCAGTGTTTCATTCTGATGTACATGTGGTAGCTATGAGTTGGAACCAACTCAATGGCACCTAACAACAACAACAGATGCAATGTAAACAAAGTTAATAGGTAAACTGTAAATTGGAATTAAAAAAAAAAGAAAAAACAGAACAATACTCCATAGGGTTCGCAATGGCTGGGTTTTTGGAAGTGGACTGCTAGGCCTTTCTTCCCCTCTGGGTGGACTCAAACATCTAACTTTTTAGTTAGCAGGCGAGCGGGTTTAATTGTTTGCATCACCCAGGGACTCCAAAACCTGAATGTTGGTGTTGGTGTTAGGTGCTCTTGTGTCAGTTCTGACTCACAGGGGAAAGTAGAACTGCCCCATAGGGTTTCCAAGAGCGGCTGGTGGATTTGAACTGCCGACCTTTTGGTTAGCAGCGGAGCTCTTTACCCCTATGCCACCAGGGTTCCAAAACCTGGCTACTGCAGCATAAATGATAACAGAATCACTTGGAAAGGACACTGGTAAATCAACAAACACCAGAACCCAACAGGCAAGGAAAACACCAGTAGGTGGATACTTGAAAAGATGCTTAACCACACTAACACAAAGAAATACTAACAGAAGCGTTTATAAGAGCGGGTCATTTTCCCGCGCGATGTTTACAATTACTTCTTTTTTAAAGTCCAAAGACTTTGCCTCCCTCCCCGGCTGAGGCGGCGATACCTTCGAGCGCGCGCCGGAGCCTCTCCTTCTTCTCGTGGGCCGTCTGCCGCGCTTCCTCGCGGGCCTTGCGGTACAGGTACTCGCGGCGCAGGCGGGCCTCGCGGCGCAGCTGGGACAACGCGAGTCAGGTCAGCCTCCTCATCTTCCACACCCGTCCGGAACCCAGGGTCCACCCGCCCCGGAGTCCCAGGGGTCACATATCCAGCCCTCCGGGCAGGGGCGTAACGAGGGTAACGAAAGCCCAGGCGCAATCTCTAAATTGCGCTGCCCCCCATCCCCGAACTCGAGCGCCCAGGGGCAATCTCTAAATTGAGCTCTCCCTGCCCCAATTTCAAGATAAATAGACGTTGATAGCGGCTACGCATCCGTAGAAACGCCTTCCTCTCTCTTGCCCGGCTGTCTCACTCGGGCGCCTTTCATATTTGCGCTACCTCGAAATATCATTCCACGCCTCGTGCCCTTGGACTTCTTCCCGTGGGCAGCTTCCTCCATCTGCTTCCACCCAACCCCTCACCCCTCCCCACCCCCACCCCCGCTACCTTTCTGCCTCGGGGAGCCCTAGCCACTAAAGGTAAGCTCATTTCTATTACCATCCTGACCGACGCTCCCACGTGGGTCTAAGGGAATCTGCGGTCGTCGCCGGCGCAATGTAGCCTTGGCTTCCGCCCTCAACCAAGAAGGTCGCTAGAGGCTTCACTACTGTCTGTTGCCTACGGGAATGCCCAGTGTTAAGATGGCGAGGGGCGTTGCAAGGCGATTGGCCAGTCCGGCAGCGCGTGCTCTATGGAGCAGCCAGTAGGCTAAGTCGTCACACGGGTTGGGCTAGCCATTAGTAAAGATGTCGTTCCGCGGCTTCACAACTTGGTACAGCCGTGTAGGATGCCTGATTTTAAGGCGGCAAGCCGCTAAAACAATCATAATTGGAGGATCGAAACAGTCCAGCAATTGTAAAAGCGGCACAACGATTGACTAGGGGGTTGTCAGCTGGAATTAAGTTCCTCCCTTAATCAAAATTGTTGCCATCCATTTTCCCTTTCTTTCATTCCCACAGCGGTTGCCTGAGTTTAAAATACGACCGATTCTGGAAGCGGTTTGGAATCACCCAAGCCTGCGCCGACTGTCTGGTCCGCTTCGGGCACTAATCGAATAGACACGCGAATTGGGCCTTCCCGTGCTCCCTTCCTAGGAGCGCTCGCCCTTCAAGGGCAACGGCGGCTAGGAAGACCCTCCGAGGGTTTCGTGTGCTGATTGGCTGTTACCTGGCGCGGCGGGCGGTGATTGGGCAAGCTGAAAGGAGGCCGGCTCCAGAGCGGGGCTTCAGCACACTTAGGGTCTGTTTGTGTAGCCCATGGCAGGAGCAGAGTTGCGGGCGGAGTCCGACTCGCTGCTGCTGCAGCTGCTCCGGGACCTGGAGGAGCTAGAGGCAAAGCGGGAGGCTCTGAACGCCCGGGTGGAGGAGGTGGGACCTTGGGGCGGGTGAGCAGGCGAGTGGCTACCTGGAGATAAGCTGAGGCTCACCGCTCTTCTCTGTCTCCTCAGGGCTGGTTCTCGCTCTCCAAGGCTCGTTACGCCATGGGTGCCAAGTCGGTAGGGCCTCTGCAGTTTGCCTCCCGCATGGAGCCTCATTACTACGTCCGCACCAGGTGAGGAGCCATGGAAGCCGAGGCCAGGCTCGAGCAGGAGAGGTGGGGGAAACAAGGGGACCAGCCCGGGGCCTCCAAAAATCCATCCTCCCTTGTCCTTCAGCGAGACCCAGGACGGACCCCAGAAGTTGTGGATGGTGAGAGCCGTCGCCGAGACCCCAGAGGAGGTGGGCCCCCGTGAGCCAGGTGAGCGCCCACTCCTTCCAGACAGGGTGTCTTCCCAATGTAGAAGACGAAATGCACAGGACAATTAAGGAGATGCTTTTCGTCTTAGTTATCTAGTGCTGCTCTTACAGAAATACCACAAGTGGGTGACTTTAACAAAGAGAAATTTATTTTCTCAAGTCTAGGAGGCTAGAAGTCCAAATTCAGGGCATCAGCTCCAGAGGAAGGCTTTCCCTTTCTGTTGGCTCTGGAGGAAGGTCCTTCTCGTCAGTCTTTCTCTGAACTAGGAGCTTCTCTGAGCAGGAAACTTGAGGCCAAAGGACGGGCTCTGGCGCTTCTTTCTTGGTGCTATGAGGTCCCCACTCAATGCTTGCTTCTCTTTCCTTTTATCTTTTGTAAGATAAAAGGTGGTGCCGGCCACACTCCAGGGAAACTCGCTTCACATTGCATCAGGGATGTGACCTGAGGAAGGGTGTCACATCCCACCCTAATCCTCTTTAACCACAGGCAAAGATTATGATTTATAACACATAGAAAAATCACAAAATAGAGAACAACCACACAGTACTGGGAATCATGGCCTAACCAAGTTGACACATATTTTGAGGGGACACAGTTCAATCCGTGACACTTTTATTCAGGCTGTTGTGATAGAGCACCCCAGATCAGAAGATCAAAATGTCTCAGCAGGGTGGTTTTGGTTTTGCCATAGACTTTGATATGGAGCCCCGATGGCACAGTGGTTAAGAGCTTGGCTGCTAACCAGAAGGTTGGCAGTTCAAATCCACCAGCTGCTCCGTGGAAACCCTATGGGGCAGTTCTACTCTGTCCAATAAGGTTGCTATGAGTCGGAATCAACTCGACGGCAACAGGTTTGGTTTTTGTTTAGACTTTGATTGAGGGATAGACAGTTGGGATTGTTTTGCAATCAGGGACAGTCTTGCTCAGCTGAACAGGAAATGTTTATCTCTGTGTCTGGATGGTTTCAAGGGGACAGACTTCTAATCTCAGTTAATCATTCATGAGACAAACCAGTTGAAGAGTCTGTGTCTGACCTGTCGGCAAGTTCAAGCAAAAGGGGAAAAGTCTGTGTTTGGCTTTGTCATAGGTAAACAAGGGGGCACATCTGTAAGTGTTATGGGAGTCATAAGAAAGAGTGGACAGAGAATCTTGTCTAAGTCATATGGGGAAGGGTGGTTCTTTTCTGTAAGCTATTTCTTGGAACACAAAAGATTGTTGGGATTTCTCAGTCATTGCTGTTTACCTGGGATCACAAGGCTCAGAAAGTTCAACATTGTCACCAAGAAGACAAGGGCCAGGGAGTAAAACCCTCAGCCACCAGCCTTTCTTTCCCCAGCTCTGCGAAGGCGAAAGGGTCTCTCCAGGACTTCAAAGCCAGAGCCCTCTGCAGCCCCTGAGGACCCCCTGAACTGGTTTGGGATCCTGGTTCCTCACAGTCTGCGGCAGGCCCAAGCCAGCTTCCAGGAGGGTGAGTGGACGCTGCCAGTCGACCATGTGGCCCTGGGATGAACTCTGACTCTATCCACGGAGAGACTTGAGATGCCATGCCTGGGGTTAGTTTGCAAAGGGCTTTATAGGTTGTCTTTAATCACAAACTTTGGTTGGACATTTATTGTTCTTTAAAAAAATTTTTTTACTGTTTGTTGGCAGTGTTCCAGGATCACACTAGGTACTGGGGATACAGGAGGGAACAAAAGAGACAAATATCCTTCATGGAGTGTTTATTGTATGGAGGAAAGAAAGCCAGTGTGCAAATAAGACAGTAGGCCTTTAATATAATACCAGGTAGTGGAAATTGTTAGGAAAAAATAGGACAGTGTGGTGAATGGAGTGGGACAGGAGTGGCCTGGGAGACTATTTTATGAAGGGTGGCTAGGGAAGGCCTCCCTGCGGAGATGAAGGAGAAAGCTGTGCAGATTATCTGGGGTAACAGTGTTCCAGGCAGAGGGATCAGCCAGGGCAAAAGTGTCTGGTGTGTTCCAGGAACAGCAAAGAGGAGGCCAGTAGGTTGGAGTGGAGTCAGTGCCATGTAGAGTACTAGGAGCTGAGGGCAGAGAAGGGCCCAGATCTAGATGATTTGAAGACTGTGTAGGCCGCAGTGAGGACTTGGGAGCCATTGGGTTGCTCTGAGTAGAGGATGGCATGATTGAACTTGCAGGGTAATAGGATTCCTGTGGCTGTTGGGTGGGGATAGCCTGGAAGGCAGAGGGCAGAAGCAGGTTCCAGGGAGCAGCCCGGTGTGAGATGAAGGTGGAGGCAGTGGAGGTAGGAATAAGCAGTGGGATCCTGCACATGTATTGAGAGTAGAAGCCCAGGATTTCTGACAGATTAGATGTAGATATAAGACAAGGACAGAAGTTGAGGATCAGCCCAGTTTTCATCTGAAATGCCCAGAAGGAAGAAGGATGGAGCTGTGGTGGGAATGCAGTGGGCAGCAGCTGAGAGGAAGCTAGGAGTTGGGTCTGGATGTGGTCAGTGTGCAGTGTCTACCTGATGTCCAGGTGGAGATGCTGAGTGGGCAGTTGGGCACATCCATCTGGAGTTTGGGGGACACCATGATGACATTCTCTCTTCTGCCTGCAGGCCTGCAGCTGGCTGCAGACATGGCCAGCCTCCAGATTCGCATCAACTGGGGTCGAAGCCAGCTCCGGGGGCTCCAAGAGAAACTCAGGCAGCTCGAGCCTGGGGCCGCCTGAGTCAGGGCAGTGAACACTCAGACATGACAGCCTTACATCCAGCCTTCTTCCTTTACAGATTGCCCCTGCTCCACCTCAGCTAATCGCCCCTTCCTTAAAATTCCCCTGATCTTTATGCTTCCAACTTTGTTAGTGTGAAAGTTTGAAGAGGCAAACTGAGTAATGTTAAAAGTCACAACTTTAAAACCGCTTCTAGGCCCGTGTTCACATAGGACACACTTGCATGGGGCAGGTGCAAGTCTGTTCACATTAGTGAAGAAAGAGAAACAGCCTCGTGGATAAATCAGCTGTGGTTTAGTTATAGGGTGAAACACTGTACAGCCTTGTCCCAGGGACGGGCAAGAAATAGGTGCTTCGGGTTCACTACCTGTGAAAAAAAGAAACCCATTGCCATCGAGTCAATTCCAACTCATAGTGACTCTATTGGACAGAGTAGAACTGCCCCGTAGGGTTTCCAGGGAACAACTGGTGGAGTTGTACTGCCAACCTTTTGGTTAGCAGCCAGATACTTAACAGCTGTGCCACAGGGTTCACTAGATCCTGAAAACTGATTTCCAGTGAGGAAAGTAACATACATGGCTGACAGATTAGGACAATATGATACTAAATAAACAAAAACACCTGAGTAGATGGGCAGCCCTTGGCAGGTTTTATGCCTTCAAGTAAAAAAGATCTGACTTAGATTTTCAAGGAAACTCTAGGAAGAAACTTAAGTTTTTAAAAATCTGCCTCCTGCCTCACCAGGAGTGAGACATAGCCTCTTTTCATGTGTTTTTTTTCTGGAAACTCTGTGTGTGTCGTTGCTTTATTTTTCTACTGAGTTTTATCTTTTTAGCAATTTCTAGGAGCTCTTTATGTTTGGGGGAAATTACTCCTTTGTTCATAATATGACATAAAAATAATTTTTTCCTAGTTTGTTTTTTGATTTTGCTCCATGGTGTTTTTAAAAAATTTTCTTATTGTAAGATAAAACGTTACAAAACACTGCACAGAACATTTAAATAGCTTAATAAATAACTATGGTGAACACTAGAATAGCTATCACCCAGCTCTTGCGTTTTTAAATCAAGTTTTTATTTTTTTTTAAAATAGAGTTGAATTTATCAATCAGCTCTTTTATGAATTTTGTATTTGGGATTGTAATTGATAGAGGCAGGCAGCCTCAGAGCTCAGCCCTTCTAGGAGACACATGCTCTGGGTTATCCTTCTACACTGGGTTATCCTCCTAGACCAAGCCGAATAGGCTGCACATTCTTCTGAAATTGCCTTTGACAAGATAACCACAGAATGGCTTTAGCTGTCCCCAATTGGTTTTAGCAGGTTTCCAACACCATCTTAGCACTTAAGTGACCTATTAGCTCATTAAGTGCAAAATACATATAAGCACCCTGCCTCTTGGTGGAGACTTAAGATGCTAATGAGGGAAAATTGACCTCTTCCTCCTTCCTGGGGAATCAAACCCTTGTCTAAACAAAATGCATAGTCATCCCCAAGCTCTGGACTCCTGCGCAAAAGTCGATCCTGAATATCCATGATACATTTACATTTCCTTGTCTGCTCTCTGTAAAAGCCTGCCTCCCCAAGCTGCCTGCGAGCAGTCTTGGAGGCAGCAGCCTTGATTGTTGCATTTCCTTGGCCAATGAAATAAAGGTGCCTTTCGGATCTCCCACTTCGGCCTCTTGTTTATTGGCTATGACGAGTCGCACCAAGCAAAACCTGGGGTTTCTACCCGGCAACATTTCTGGCAAGCAGCCAGGAGTCATCACTTGGTTCCTGAGATGGGCCATGCTGGGGACCTCAAGGCAGTCCTAGAGGCCAACCCACCTTGGACCTAACGGTGGCTCCGTGGGAGACATGAAACACACCTGGGTTATTTGGTAAGTGTCTTAGGCTGGGTTCTCTAAAGAAGCAAAACAAGTAAAGCGTATAAATATATAGAGAGAGCTTTATATCAAGGAAACGGCTCACGGGATTGTAGAGGCTGGAATGTCCCAAGTCTGTGGATCAGGATAGAGGCTTTTCTTGATTCATGTAGCCGTAGAAGCTGGCGAACCCAAGATTAGCAGGTCAGAGAGCAGGGTTCTTGTTCTATGAAGACTGACAAATCCCAGGATTGGCAGGCAAGACCGCAAGGCTTCCTGATTCATGTAGCTGTAGGGACTGGTGAACCCAAGATCAGCAGGTTGGAGAGCAGGACTTCCACTCACAGGCTGTGAAGATGGACAAATCCCAAGATTGGCAGGCAAGACTGCAAGCCTTCTCTTGATTCACAAAGCTGCAGGGGCTGGCAGACCTGGAGGTCAGATGAACAGGAGGCAGCTGCAGGATCCAGAGTGAGCAAAAAAGCCAGAACTTCTGTTTATATTTGGATACAGACCACACCCCCAAGGAAACTCCCTTTCAACTGATTGACTACTCACAGCAGAGTCCATCATGGGAGTGATCACATGTAAATACAGAATCATGGCCCAGCCAAGTTGACACAAAGTCTTAACCATCACAGTAATTACCTAGCTAAGGCCTTCAAAGAGTCCCCAAAGCAGGAATAATTGACTGTTGAGCACATTAAGGCTCTAGGTATCTGGGGTTATTTGGTAAGTAACGGGGTAATTCCTAGGTCATGCCTTACAAGAGTCCCAAGAAATGGGAGGAATTGACTATTGAGGGCATAAAAGGCTCTAGGTACCTGTTATTACGTTGGTGCACTGGATTAGGTTGTGTGAATGTATAAGTGTGTGTGTGTCTGGAGAATGGGGAACGATCAAGGGATCCTGGAATGCAGCCCACTAGGATGCATCCTTAAGAACTGGGAATATTTCAGGCCAGACCCTATGAAAAAATGATTTTCTTCTGTAACACCACATGGCCTCAATATGAATTGTCAGATAAAAAAAAAGTGACTAGGAAATGGGTCTCTAAATTATAACACTATCTTCCAACTTGATCTTTTCTGTACTTGAGAAGGTAAATAAGATGAAAAGTATTAGGTGAAAGCTTTCATGATCCTATCAGAACAAAAATTTACAGAAAAAAATGTAAAATCTCAGTTCAGAAAGGGACTGACAAATCATGACTGGCAGTCCTCCCTCCTGACCCCAAGGAGGATCTTCCAGCTCCTGCCCCTCCCTGTGCCCTGCCTCTACCCAACAGAGCCTCCACATCGGTGACAGCCCCCACTGTTAAGCCCCCTTAACCTTTGTATCCACCCTTCCTAGGTCCTTCCATCCTTCCAGTGGGCTTGCCACCCCATAGGCGAAGTGGAACAGCTTTTGGATGCCCCAATCCAGCCAATAGAGAAGGCTGTGAAAGAAGGGGATAAGACTGTCAGGGAGGCCATGGTTCTGAGGGGTGTGATCACAAGCCTGAAAGAAAGCCTGATAGCGTACACCCTTTATGTCAGGTCCCAGACAGATGCCAGAATGGTCTAGGTTCATCAGCCCTTCACAACCAGTGATCTCTATAACTGGAAAAACAACAGCCCTGGGTATAGAGAGGACCCTAAGCAAATGTAAGATCTTTTTGCCTCCATTTTCTGCCCTCACAACCCCACTTGGGCGGATTGCCACGCCCTGTGTGACATGTTTCTCACCCTGGAAGAGCGCCACATAGTGTTTGAGAAGGCCCCGGCTGAGGTAGACAGGCAGCATGAGTTACAGGCTGCAAACTTAAACGGGGCGGATGCCTTCACCACTGCCAATCCCAGCTGGGATCCCAACACCACAACGGGGCAAATACACATTACCATGGAGACTGTCTCTTTAAGAAAGGAGTAGTCAAAAATTTAAGCAAAGTGCATGGAGTTACACAGGAGTCTAATGAGGACCCCTCCCAGTTTTGGAGAGAGTTTATGCTGCTTTCAGACAGTTCACTGATGTGGATCCCAAGAGCCCTGAAAATGCCCAAAAGGTCAATATAATCTTTATAGGGCAAAATGCCCCTGATATATTTTAAAAAGCTTCAGAAAGTAGAAGGAGGCATAGAGTTAAAAATCTCTCAGCTAGTGGAACTGGCCTACCAAGGTTAGTCTAACCAAGATAAGGAGCAAGAAAGAAAAAATGTTGCAGACCAAGGGCATGAGGTAGACTTCTTGGCTGGCAGCCACCTTGCAGGCTGAAGGCCATTCCCCAAGAGAACAAAGAAAAAGAGGGAGGCCAAGGCTGCAGGAGCCGAGAAGGCCCTGCACCCCTTTAGAAGTAGACCAGTGCAGCTGGTGTAAAGAAAAAGGATGTTGAAAGTGAGAGTGTCTAAAATACTAAGCAAAGGAACAAAGAAAGAGGGAGGCTACCCAGTGCCTGTTCATGCCACTAGAAGATGAGTCAGACTGAGGGGAACTGGAGGGTAGCCTCCACCAGAACCTCTGGTTGTAATAAAAGTAAAAAGAAAGCCCGTAAAGTTCCTGGTAGATATGGGGTCAACTCACTCTGTAATGATTAAAAAAGGCAGCCCTGGCACTACACCCTGCTCTCCACAGTCTCCCCTGCCCGCCCCAGCCTTCATTTGTTTTACTGTGCTAGACTTGAAAGCTGCAGGGTTTTTTTTTTGTTTTTTTTGTTTTTGGTCTGTTTGTTTTGCATTCCAGTAGCAGAAAAAGCCAAGAAATCTCTACTTTTGAGTGGAAAAACCCGTTCTCAGGACTCAAACAGCAACTTTGCTGGACAGTTTTACCCCCAAGTGTTCAAAAACAGTCCAACCCCATTTGGAGCAGCGCTGACAGGAGAATTATGCCAGCTGACCCTCACTATATGTTGCCAATATGCGGATAATCCCACTGCCATCAAAGATGAGTTCAATTCACTTCAGAACACCATTTAGATTCCGAGAGCCATCGAGGTTCTTAATCTCCCTGGGTAACATGCGGTATCGAGTGTCAAAAGAAGAGGCCCAGAAGTTACATACTCGGGGTTCAAAATTAGAGCCGGTAAACGTGAACTGTTACCGGCAAGAAAAGACGCCATCTGCCGACTGGCTGCCCCTACTAGCAGAAAACAGCCAAAAGGCTTCCTGGGAATGACAGGGTTTTGCTGCATTTAGCGCCCAAGTTTTGGGCTCATTGCAAAACCTCTCTACCAGGCTTTAAAAGGGAAAGAAACAAAGCTCGTTTAGACTAAAAGTACTACCCATGGTCCTCTTGAGAGCTAGAGCTGCCCCTCGGAGAAAGCTAAAAAATCAGCCCTTTGAGCTGCTGTACGAGCGCCCCGTCCGGGTTAAACCTAACATGGAATTAAGTGTTAACTCAGCTAACTGTGTGACTGGAGATTTACAAATCATAAAGCATTGTCTGTCTTGGCGACTCTGTCTTCTCTCCACAGGTACGCTCTCAGCTGCCATCCACCTGAGCCCGAAGTACTGCTTCACTCTTTCCAGTCCGATGACTGGGTTCTCCTAACGACCTGGAAAGCTGAGTCACTCCAGGAAAAGTGGACCAGACTGCTTGAAGTGCTGCTTGCCACCCCCACAGCGGTGAAGCTCAACAGTCTCAGGGTTTAGATCCACCACCCCTGAATAAAGAAGATCGTCCCACCAGACATCGATGGGCAAACCCACCAAAACTGTAAAAACTAGACCTGTGAACCTGTCAAAGACCTTAAGTACCTGTTTTCCAGGCATCCTCCCGCATGGGTAAAATCCCCTAAAGACTCCTAGCACTGCTGATAATTTTAGTGTTACTATTTTGTCTCTTGTTCCTATATAACCTGCTCAAGCAAATTAGAATTTTCTGAACTCTCTTATGTCTCGCTTGTGCTAGTGTCTGTATTCTTGTTTCTATAAGTCCACCAGCTCCCTAGAAAGATGGATAATATGGTAATGTCCAGAGTATCTTAATTCTTTGTGTTACAAGTGTCCTCAAACAGGGTAAATGCAATGTTACCCCTAATCTTGGTAAGAAGTCTACTTCTGACTAGGCTGCTGGTTGCCCCATTTTCCTAAAACCCACACTGTGTTGGAAATTCTTTCCTCAAGGTAACTAACTTTGTGGCTAGAGAAGGACACTTCAACAATTGTTAGATATGTCCACCCATTCCAACTTCCGGCATCCTCGATGAGCCATCCATGAAGATCTCCCATTCCTCTAGAATATCTAAACACCTCCTTCTGTGTGTGAGTTAATCCTCTCATGAGGTTGAGCTGAATTTACAGATAATGGACAAGGTAGCTAACTGGACAAGACCTAGACTTGAAACAAAAGCCGAAGCAGCAACTTGTTGGTGGGGCTGGATTATATCCATATTTCCCAACTTCGATTGGCTTTGGTCCTTGGTGACTCCACTAGTTTTTATTTTTCTGCTGTGTCTGTTCCTACCTTGCTTACTAAATTGTTTGACCAGGTTTATTTATATCTTCCCACATTTCAGCTATAAATATGATAATAGTGCAACAAAGAGTTAAGCTCAGTGAAATTCCAGAATCTAACACCTAGCTTGTGACCTCACCAGAGTCTCCCTACCAGGCAAAATGGGCTGCCTTACAGTGGTTTAGAATGAACATTGACCAATAATCATCAAGGTTCAAATAAGAGGAGGGCATGAGACAGGCAGCTTCAGAGCTCAGCCCTTCTAGGAGACACCTGCTCCGGCTTATCCTCCTACACCAAGTTGAATAGGCCACACATTCTTCTGAAATTCCTTGACAAGATAACCACAGAATGGGCCATAAATTGTCCTTGACGTGGTAACCACAGAACAGCCATAGCT